CTACTTTCAAATTTTAGGATAGCTAAGTTCGGCAATGGCCATATCAGCAGTTACTCCATAGAGTCTGGTTTCAGTTAGGACAATTAAGGCTGGGCGATGAAATTAAGAAATACCTGACCAACAGGCCAGTTTGGATGCCACCAAGGGATGGAGAGAGAGCCCAGCACGTCGGGTTTTTCGAGAAGAGGTTCTTATTAACAGAAAGCAGTGATGAATGGGACGGAGCTGCTACACTTCAGCTGGAGCTTATGTATTGAAGCAGAGGTGTCAGTTCAGACAGCAGCAGGAGGTTGGATTCTCCAACTTTTGCAAATGAACCCCGCTCCCTTCCTTCTAGCCTTCCCCGCTCTTTGGGATAGCAGGAATACTAAAGATCGTGGCATCTGTCAGTTCCTTTAGCACAAGCCATTACTTAACTTAATTACTTATTTATATATGAATAGTCAATCCCTTCTCTTCCTCAAGCTAGTACCAAAAAGCCTATTCCGAAAGCCGTCTTTCAATCCCTGTGCCCCAAAAGAGGGCTAGTTTCAAGGGTGCGCACCTAGTAGCTGCGAGCCTAAGATCAAAGGCAGTTCCAAAAACAAGTTCCCTATTTCCTGATAAAGTCTCAGTTGTAAGGTTAGGAAAGCCAGGTATGATGAAATCCTCTTTTCGAATAGGAATTGATTCGATGTTATTATTTTATTATTTTATAAAAAACTGAATATACTGTTTTCAAGAAGGAATCGCCATCACCAGTGGAAGTTGAACCCGGCGACCTCCTCCTCCTGAAGTATGGGAAGAAAAACCAGTCAACCACAGGGAAGGAAGGACAAGAAGGAGGCTCAAGTTTCTTGCCTCTTGCTCAATCCAGTAGCGAGGTTTCAACGAGTTCTTTGTACGCGGCCAGTGCCGATAGCCTCTTCCCAAAGCCGGAAGAAAGTATTTACAAGCATCAGCGAGCAAGCCAGGCAGAAAGCCCCTGTTCCCCATGGAAAGGTTCGATAGCCACTTCAAAGATAGAGTAAGGGCGGATACTAAAACCCTAAAAATTAATAAGGCGGTTCAGACGTTTTATAAGATCTTTCTATCAGTGGTCCACTTTCATCCAGCTTGAAATAAACATCCAAACCTTGGAAGTCTCGCATGCTTTAGGAAGTTCCCTACTCCAGTCTAGTTCAATAGCTCCAATGGACGAAAAAGGGTATGAAAAAGGTGTCTTCGACAATGAAAGTGGCCCGTTCTACATAGGCCCTGCCCAAAGCTTCCTTCTAAACTAAGGCACGCTCGATAGCAAGAAGCTAGTGACCTCTTTCAGGTCATTAACTAGAACTTGCACGAGGTATCACAGTGGGGCCTGTCTTCTGTCCGGTTCTTGGGTCCGGTCGAGCCTCTTTGAAATTACATCCCCGCCTCTCGTCTAACTCGAGTTGCTCCGCTCTTTTGGCAGTTAAAGTAGCTCGCTTCAAGAAGTAAGATCATATCATAAGGGGTATGTTACGAGCAGAAGTTCTCTTGCTAGTGGAAGTAAGAGTAGCAAGGTTAGGACCGCATATAAGAGGGGGTGCGAAAGAAATTATATTCCCCAGAAGTTGTCCGGTTGGGAAAGCGACTTGACCTTCGTCGTTGGTTGGTACGGCCACTTTGCTTGAAGCTGGAAACCAAAGGATTGAAGAAAAACATCGATTTGTCTCTAAGCTCCGGATGCTTCATTCCTGTGAATGGGATGGCACTTTATCCCCCGGCTCATCTTGCTTTTTTTGAAATGGAGCTGCTCTGGCTTCCTGACCTGATGAATGGATTTGGGGGTTGACTTAAAATGGAAATTACACGGTGAAGTCGGGGTATGCGGTAGCCAAAGAAGTTCAAGATGCAGACCAGCCTCAATCATCTCATTTGGGTAGTCAGGATAGTGGGCTTTGGAAGCGGGCTGGAAAAGCTCATCCCAAGATTAGAAACTTGATATGGAGGGCATGTCGTCATGCTTTGGCAACACAGATGAATCTATTCCGAAGGACGCCCTCCTCTTGATGTTTGCTTTGTGATCATGAGGAAGAATCAGTGGAACCCCTTCTATTCCTTTTACCATATTTCCAGGCCGTATGGCGCGCCGGCGGTTTCAGTTATGTGCCAAATGCAGTCCATTTCCCATGCTTTGCTGAATGGCGGTCTCATGTGCAGCAACAAATCCCAGATTTTGGTACCGTCAAGCCCTTTCTCTCATTGCTTTCCATTGTTGGGAGAGGAAGAGCCTTCTTTCTCTTACCTATGGACCTTTTCCACGTAGCAGCTTCCATACTGCACGAAGTCTTCCTCGGGAATGGCTTACCTTAGAATTAAAAATGGAGTCCCGCGCGCTCCTTAAATGGGGGCTCTTGACCGGGTCCTTTCGGTGCGAAAGATCAAACCCTACGCCCACTGCCCTTGTTCCAAGATCTCACTTCATTCACGTATCTGCCTCCTTTGTTTCAGAGCTAGCGAAGGGGGTGACTCGACCTGTAGACGGTGATACCGCCATTCTCAAAAAAAAGTAGAGGAAGAGATATGCCTATGTATGATAGGGCCGTAAAGAACTCTCTTGAGCCAACTTTCGGGAGGCCAGTTCAGGTTCTCTTTAGAATTTTTATTGGTATACTTATTATCGAATGCAATCCATTCGTATTTTATTCTTTTTTTCTTGCCTTAACTTTGCTTTGTTTGAAATACAGAACTGAAGACGAAGGCGAAGGAAGCTCCAGCCCAAGGATAAAGAGAAAGAAAAAAGCAGCCGGTCGAATCGATTTCGTCCGACAAAGAAATGATCTCTACATTTCGTCATGGGATGAGGGGCAACTAGAATTCCGACGCCCCTCCTACTTACTCCTCCCGAGGTCACTTCCGGCTTACAGCGGGCTGCTATCATCCCTCCTTTGGCAGCGATCCTTTGAATTTCACTACCAGTCCTAGCTACGGATACTGACTATAGAGAACTTGAATCAGAATCTCTTTCACTCCCGGCTGAGTCAACAAGACTTATGACAACAGACGGAAGAGCCTCTCTTTTCTCTAGCCTTTCGGCTTCCGCTCCTATTTTCATTTCATTACCTACCTCGATGTGTTCTTTTCTTCACTATTTAGGTAGACTTTTCAGAGAGTTCTTTTTCTAGGAGTTTGCGGATTGATTCCCTGAGTCTTCTTCATCGAAGACTCTTTCCAAACAAGGACTAGTCTCATTGAATGAGAAATCCCTATTCCTAGGGGAAGTTCTGCTCGTTTCACTTCCTCAGTTGAGTGATAAAGAATCAGATTGGCTGCTTCCAGGCATTCTAATGAAGTTCTATCATTCCCAAGGGTAGACCCTGGTTTTTAATCTACGCCCAATTCTTGGCTCAAGAGTAACTGCCCCCTTTTCCCAATCAGCCGGGAATAATCTCATAGTCAAGGAGAAGAGGGAAGAACGAGGGCAAGCATAAGAAGAAGCAGTCATTGAAGAAAAGAAGACAAAAAGGTCCGATGGATGAAGATAACGATCAACGGAAACTACCGGCTATGAAGCTAGATGGCATATAATAAGGTTATGCCAATCCAATATAGATGGCTTGCCTGGCAGGTGAAAGAATACCTGTTGCCCTGGATGTTTGGTGGCCGATGCACAATCTTTCTTTCAGCCGTCGCGCTGATAAGAAGAAGAGTTCTGAGGGGCTTTAATGGCTTATTAGATTAGCCGAGAAACTTCTTTGGATGTCTTGAAGTGAAGAAAGAGTACCAAGAAAGGCTAATGGTGTCCGAGGCTTCTTACCTCTCCCCCGAGGGAGATTGAGGGGGGTAACTTGCCTTTCCTACCCCACTTAGACAAGGACACTTATCGAATGCGAAAAGGTATTCTTGAAAGGAAGCGTAAAGCACCTCGACTTGGCTCGTAACCATTAGAGTAGATCGTTTGAGCTTTCTGGGGAAGACTTTTCGATCTTTCTAAAATCTAGGTAAGTCGAAGGGTATTCCACAAGGGTATTCTCTGGACAAGAGGAACCGGATAAAGAGTAAGGTTTGGGCTAGGTCCTTGCGATCCTGCCACCTCTTGGCAAAGTAGGCTGATGGGCAAGCCCCCTCTTTTCGCAATGGTGTGGGGCGTCAGAGGCTGTTGCCCCATGACCAACTCGAAGGGGCTGAAGTTCGAGGCAGAGCTTTTTGGTTGTTAAGTTATAGCAGCACTGAGCAACATCCAACAACTCCAGTCCTTCTGGTTTGCACTAAAGTGCCTTAAGTAGCCCTCGAGGAGTCAGTTTATTCTCCCCGTCTGAGCTTTCAAAGATATACCGACCATAGGTATCTTACCATCAGATACCGACAGTCGTCTTCTAACAAAACCGACCTTTAAATATCGGGGTTTCATCAATTTCACATAACATAAAAAAGCTCTTTTCATCATCAGAAACAACTTGATTTCCGACCTCTTGCATTGCATTACCATAACGAAAAGAAAAATGAATTCAAAAAAGAGAGATTGCTCTTGTGATTCGAAATGAACCTTTCTCGATGGAGGAAAGGAATAGCGATGGATTCCTATGGAGCATCCAGGAACAAGAAGATTCAATCGGACGACGAATTCTTACGTGGAAAAAGGAAATCAAAGATCCGCTTCCACGATTTCATCTATATCGAATCTTAATATCAGAATAGCTTATATAGTCGTCATGATTCAATTCATGAATTAGCCCACTAGAGTTCACTGCATTTTTTTTAATTTATAATAAATTATATAAATATATAATATCATTCGTGTCTCTGTTACAACACGGCGAAACTCAATAGTTCGAATGAAATCCAATGAGAAAAAAGAATATAAGAATTTTTAGGCGCCTAATTTTCCTGGGATTGTAGTTCAATCGGTCAGAGCACCGCCCTGTCAAGGCGGAAGCTGCGGGTTCGAGCCCCGTCAGTCCCGACCTAGGATCCAATGAATCTCTCCATTTTCTGTGAAGAGGTCATCAAAGAGAGTCCAGTTGCCTCCGAGAAGTGCCTAGGAGAAGGTCTCGGACTCTCCAAGATAGGAACCTTGAAGCCCCTTCATGGTAAACCACTAGTGGCATGCTTTACGGGCAATCTAAGGCAGCCTCTAATCTTTCTGATT